AATTACAGGCAATTGGTGTTAAAAGTGATAAAAAAGGCGAATTTCCAGAAGACTATACATTCCAGGGCGTGCTCACGCCAAAGATTGCAGAGTGAATCCTGAAAGACGGACCGTGACACTTATCCCTAGAAGCTTGCCACTATTTTTGGGAGCTGTGTTTTGAAGTTGCGTTGGATTTGGAGACATCTTCAGATAATATTTTGGCAACAAATCATGGAGAAAAATAAAGGAAGATATTTCTAAAAAGATACAACAATGTGATTGGCTAAAAAAAAAAAGGGAAACTGCTAAGTTTTAGGGGGAGTCAAATTGCTAATCCTTTTTAGTAGGAGAGAATTTTGAAAGCTTGAGGAATATAAGGAACCGGGGAAGGTTGCTTCCAGAAAGAAATTGGGAATTGACTACGGAGTGAAGAGAAAAAAAGCTGGATCCCGCGAGACTAAGACCTTGGGTCTCGTTGCTTAGACTAGTTGGTTTTTTTTCCTTTTCTTCCTTTGTAACGTGATTTAGAGGTTGGGCACTTTGCTTTTGATTAATGAACACGAGATTGAAGCTTGGGATTGCAACAAACATGAGGCAAGGCTGAATCTTTTATCTAGTTGAGGAATAAATCGAGGATCGGAGCACCATAACTGTGAGATCGTTTTAATTGCTTATTTTTAATTTATATGTTCATGGATATTTGATTATTCTCTATTTTTCCCTGAGTTATTATTATTTAGATTTATTGGATACTTAGACCTGTTATTCGATTATCTAAATAATTGATAGCCAATTAGGATGTTGGCGCGTCGCCTTTAAGCATCTTGATTAGTGGCAAACGAGACAATTGCACCGCCTCGCAAGCGGTCTAATTTGGATCGTAGAGATAATTAATCTAGCCTAATAAATCCGCATGTGTGTTTGTCATCTAGAATTGGGTTTTTCTAATTCCTAATGTTGTGGCTACATTAAATCCTGTGAGCGTTTCTGGGGTTGTCTAGTCACAAGAGGGTAGTTTATGAGCGTCTCTTGACTACCATAAAATTAAGGAAAGATTGGTGGTTGGGCGCGCCGCTTGACCACTATAACCAGTTTATTCGTGAGTATATGAATTGTCCCTTGTATCTGTGATCAGTTGTGTGCTTCGGTGCCAAGATTAATTCCTTGACTAGATTGTTTTAATTAATTGTTATTTGTGTAATTTGGTTCCCGCTATCTTACTCAACTTTAAATTTCAATTTTTATTCCTTTTTAATTAGTTGGTACTATTGCTAAAAATCCCCCCCCCCCTCCATTTTCCTATGTGATTTGCTTACCAATTCCCTGAGGAGACGACCCTACTTGCCCTGTTTACAAATTAAATTTGAGATTGTGTTGGTTGGCAATTAGGCTGTTATGTTTAACTTTATTTTTGGAGGTTTGACACCCACCAGGCTGTTGCATAAATTATAATTTTTTTGAGGGTTGCATTTAAAAAGAAAGGTTCAGCTGTGCCAACCGGTTGCATTCATGTCTGCAAGTCTGAGACTTGAAGTGTCTATCATCTAAGTATTGTCCTATTCTTTTAAGTGTATTTTTCAAACACTATTATGCAACACTTCTTGATGGTATTATAATTAAGGTGGGTTACTTCAATATCAAACTTTTAAATAATTATGAGTCATCTTGTTAGAATGACTTTCAATTTGCTAGAAACCAAGGCAGGCAATGTGGTTATTTTCAAACCATAATGAGACTCTGGTAAGAAGTTAGATTAGAGGAGAGATAACTGTAATTTACCCTCTTTATAAAGTGTGGCAAACTACATGATAAGACTATAGATTTCTCTGTGCCTGATACAACTGGTTTTCAATAGTATATATGTATCATAATAAATATCTTCTTTTTAATCTCTATGCGCCTTAGAGATCTTGGGTCCAAATGTCCTTTCTCTCTTTCTGTTTGTTAAATCCCATCCTTCTCTTGCTTTAAAAAAAAAAAAAAAAAAAAAAAAAACTCCACGCGTCTATGGAGAAAAATTTTGACGTCTAGTTCCTTCTTTATTGCATGCTTAAAAAAACTGTCCAAAAAATTATGCTATCGAAACTTTCCCAGAAAATAATGCAGTAGTAGAATTTCCAACACGCAATGACTTGTAACACATTCATGGGTAATGTCATCACTCAACAGGAAGTCCATAAATTGGTACATGAATTTCAGCTGAAACAGGGACTCACTTCGAAAGAAAACTAGAAGAAAATCTGAGATTGGACTTTGGACATAAAATAGAAATCAAAACTTCATCCACCCTCTCATAATAATTATAAATCTACAAACTTGTTTTTCTCTTTTTCCTTGATGGATACCTACCAAATCAGTGGACCAAGAAATTAATGGGCTTAGTAAAATTAGAGAAATAATTTAAACAAGCTAAAATTTCAAGAAGATTGTATCGTAGTACATGAATTTTCGTGCGCAGATGTCTGGTTTATAAGGCTTTATCTTAGAAATGATGTCTTTCTATCATTGGTTTTGTATAGCAACGAAGGATGATGTCCCGATCAACTTATAGTGTATCCCAAGACTATACCAACGTTTTTGTTTTTTTTGACCATTACAACATTTATTACAAAACTGAAAACGTGTATGTTAAGGGACTTAGGAGACGACTCCATCGCATTACTGCTTATGCTGACTGATTCAAACGATCAAATAACTTACACTTTTCTGCTCATGTGACCAAGTCAAAACCAAAATTGGTGTTGATGTACAAGCACATCTAGGATCAAGTTATTTTGTCATACATGTACACATGCACGAACGAATTCTACAATATGAAAGTATCATTGTAAACCCGCATCCATGAGTCTTAACTCAAAATATCTGTATGAATGCATTACGTACACTGCATGAGAAAAAAAATGTCTACAAATTTTTTCGAGAGTTATATGCAGCACATTTTAGAACAAGGTAATTAGTGGTCCTTTCTGGGCTTCCAATCAACAGTGGAGTTAAGACTTTCGGTTAACAACGTAAAAACAATTTTTTTTGGATGAATATCGAGGAAAAAATTATGTCAATAATGGATTAAAAATTAGAGATATACAAAGATGCTATTTTAAGCAGTGGCTAAGCCACATAGGATTGAGGGTAGGCAATTCCCCCTCCCCATCAAATTTAAATAAAATTATAAAATGATCTTGAACATTTTTAAAATTTTTAAATTTGAACCATTTTTGCACCCCCTAAATTTCATAGAGTGAGAGATTCGGATAATTTGGTAATGTGAATCATTTAGCTTCCAAAAATGTAAAGTGAGAAATACAATATTAATATAAGGTGTAAATCACATAAAATGAAATAGTCAGATAGAAATTGAGGATTGGTATAAGTAAATTGTTGACGGAAGCTACATTTGCAATAGAGAAAGGGCACAGGTAGATGAGGTATTAGTTCATTTACCTTCCGTCTTTGAATGGTTCAATTGTGCATACTGCATACTTTTGGATGAACTACTTCATTTTTTATTCTCTAACAGTTCTATTAAGACTTGGTTCAACTTTAAAGAATTTATCTCAAATAATTGCAAGTAAAATAGTTTATACATTCGTTTCGTGAAGATCCAGAACTTATACATGACAAGAAGACTATTTAATCTATGCTTCCCGTTTAAACTCTGAGGAGATAGCATTCAGCAACTGGTTGGTAGGTAACTCTAGCTTTATTTCAACTCATCTTGTGATGACACGTTTAAACATCGCAACTGAGGAAACTATAAGATCAACGAAACTGCTTCATAATTTTTCTGCCTTCATTGGGAATATAAGTGTAAAATAAAGCGTCGTGGAACTTGTTTCAGTGTTGAACGGAAAGACGACGACGTACCAATTATGAGGAAAGAAATTAGCATTCTATCGTCGGTGTACGTTGTGAAGTCTTGGTCGTCCTACCCCAGTATTCCAGAATACACGTTAAAGACTTTTAACAGTTTCTTTGCAAACAAATAAGAAAATGAATACTATGATAAAAAAAAAAAGAAATTTGAAAAATCAGAAAAGAAAATGAGCTGACAGCCCTTGGCAATCACTTTTTAAGAAGCATTCAGGTTACCCTAGATTTTGTTTAATATTCGTTTTCTAAAGAAGAATCACAAGATTTAGAAAAAATGCTACTGAAAAGAAAAAGGGCAAATTACACTTTGCCTCCTGTGATTTAGTGTTTTTGTACATAAACTTCCTATAATTTCAAAAGCTATATATAACCTCTCATGGTTTGGATTAAAGTGTCAAAATGACGGAAATGATCATTTGGAATGAAACCTTTAAAAATGTCGAAATTACCCTTATAAATACATGACACACTAATCCTGTATGATTTTATATTTTATCACATAACCCCCTTATGGTTTAATATTTTATCATACAACTCCCTTATGATTTTCAAAATATACACACAACCTCCCTTGGTTAATAAATAATTTTCAACTTTACATAAGGGTATTTTTGACATTTTAGGTGACTCCGTTACAAATGACCATTTTCTTCACTTTGACACTTTAATCCAAATCATGAGAGGGGTTATGTATAGTTTTTGAAACCATAGGGGGTTATGTAAAAAAACTAAATCACAAGGGGGATAAGTGTTATTTGTCCAAAGAAAAAAGATAAAATTAAAAGAGAATCCATGTTTACTTGCTATTCATATTTGGTAACAAAATTCAATTTCCAAATTTTATCCGGATAGAAATCATGCTGTTATTGTCTCTATCTTTGTCCTTGCATACGTGCATTAGATGTTTCCAGTTGCTTCTGTATATATATGTACCTGAAGTAGAAATTGCTAGTCATCCTAGATAAGCCTTTGCCTGTTGTCTCAGAACTCAGAGTATAGTCATGAAGAAAATTTCTCACTACTATTTTTCCCTTGGACTCTGGCTAAGTTCTCTCTTATCTTGCTTAGCCACGACCGCGCCCAACATAACCACTGATCAATCAGCCCTTCTTTCATTGAAAGCCAAAATCACTTGGGATCCTCACGAAATGTTGGCAAGCAACTGGTCGGCTACTCCCTTAGTTTGTGACTGGAGAGGAGTCACTTGCGGCTCCCGCCACCGCAGAGTCACTGCCTTGAACATCTCCAACTTGGGTCTTACTGGCACCATTCCTCCACAACTGGGCAATCTCTCCTTTCTCATGTCCCTCGACATGAGTGGGAACAATTTTTATGGAGAACTTCCCCATGAATTGATTCGTCTGTCCAGGTTACGAGTCCTTAGTTTAGGCATTAACATGCTTAGCGGAAATATTCCCTCTTGGGTTGGTTCCTTCCAACAACTCTGACAATTTTCTCTAAAGAACAATAGCTTTACAGGCTTTATCCCACCTTCTATCTCCAACATGTCCAAGCTAGAGACATTAAATCTGCAGGTTAATTCTCTTCAAGGAGCAATACCAATGGAGATTGGGAAATTAAAAAAGTTGAAGCGAATTCTCCTGGACTATAATCAGTTTTCAGGTTCTTTGCCATTGCAGATGTTCAATATTTTCGCATTGGAAATGATTGCTTTTCAAGGTAATAGCCTGTCTGGTAGTCTTTCATCCAGCATATGTGCCCGTCTTCAAGGACTCTCATGGCTTGACCTTTCCCATAACGAATTAAGTGGCATGATACCAGCATCCTTATCCAAATGTTCAAAGCTTCGTGTACTGGGGTTGTCATACAACAACTTTAGTGGAGTGATGCCGGAAGAAGTTGGGAACTTGACGGCACTCCAGGAACTATACCTTGGTGACAACAATTTGATTGGAGTGATACCGGAAGGATTTGGGAACTTGACGGCGCTCAAGCGACTATATCTTCGCAGCAGCAATTTGATTGGTACCATCCTAGCTCTTGAATTTTAGCAGATATCAGATAAATGTGCATATAACTATTTGCCGCATTTACCTGACAATCAAATATAATAAGTCTAGGGCTCCATGTTTTAATTGTCATTTAGGGAAATTTGACTAAATGTAAAGAGGCATTTACATAATAAGTTGCGTGTATTAATAAGTATCCATTGACCTTGGTATGCATTACAAAGTTCGAAATCTAATGTAACTTTGTTTTACATCTTAGAATAAATATTTCAAAGCTAATTAATCTCATGTCACCAAAGCTAGAAACATCAATTCTCTACGAGGGACAATTCTAATAGAGATTCGGAATCTAAACAAATTGAAGATAGTGAACATCAACAATTAACAATCAGATTTCCTGTCCTTTGCCATTGGGGGTGTTCAATATTTCGTCATTGGAGACTATTACTTTTGCTGGTAATAGCCCAACTCTTTTTGCATTTTAGCTGAAATTAGAAAAAAAAAAGAGCTACATATTACTAGTTATATATTCTCAAACAATTAAATAATATATTGATTAGTAATTTGAAGGCTTGTATGAAGGAAATCCGGAGGTAAACAAATTATAGAATAACATAAAGGTAATTACTTATCAAACCTGAAGAAATAGTTGGTAACACTTTCGGTAACTAAAGAAGAATACAAAGAATTTTCTTATTAAACATATGTTGTAGTACAAAAGACCGTATAACATTTCCAGACGTAATAATCAAAATATGAATGACAGCATCACCTCAGCAAACTACCAAAGCTTAGGCTTCCCTTTTTTTTAAAAAATTTTGTGTGAAGTTATATATATATATATAAGCTTGAATCTTTTTTTATGGTTTTTTCTAGATTTTATCATGTTTGTAATTATTAAGCATATTAATCTGCAAAAATATATGCATTTATATGAAAGAAAAAACAATTCCATGTTGATTATATACGCAAATTTGCCTTTCTATTGTCTTCAAAGCCTATTGACTTAAATATCTCTTGGTTGTTGTGAAAGTATTTTATCCGAAAAAAAAAAAGCAATTACTTGTGTGAAGGTTTTAAGTAAATTCTTTAAAACATTCTGACATGAGTAAATTAATCCATAGCATGCACTAACATTTGTAAACGTGGTAACTAACTCTCTAGATAGCATTCCGCACAAGCTTGGCCGCCTAAAGCATCTTGAAGAACTTGATTTGGGCTCCAATAGCCTAACTGGATCCATACCAGCCCAAATATTCAACATCTCGACACTGCAAGCACTATCCCTATACGCTTTCGGGAAGGCTTCTGTCATCCACGGGTTATGGATTGATCAACCTTGATGTGCGTGCTCTCTCTTGGAATGAGTTTGATGGAGTGATACCAGCCTCAATCTCAAACGCGTCTAAGCTGACTATTTTAGACTTGAGTGGAAATAGATTCAGCGGTCCAGTTCCAAACTCTCTTGGAAACCTAAGACTTCTAAGAGATTTGGATCTCGTTGATAATCATTTGACAACTGAACCTTCATCTAGAGAATTGAGCTTTATTAGTTACTTAACAAATTGTAAGTATCTGAAAGAATTAGTTTTTGCTGAAAATCCACTGCACGGTTTTCTTCCGATGTCAGTTGGGAATCTCTCAACTTCTATGGAGAGATTCCATGCATATGGTTGCGGAATCAAGGGAAGCATTCCCGATGCAATTGGGAATTTGAGCAACCTAATGATTTTGAGTCTATATGGAAATCACCTGAGTGGGCCCGTTCCGAGCACAATGGAATACTTGCAAAATCTTCAAGCATTGGGTTTGAGTGCTAATCAATTAGGTGGTTCAATTCCAGATTGCATTTGCAAGTTAAAGAGATTGTACCAAATTGATCTGGGGCAAAACCAGTTTCGTGGGTCAATGCCATCATGCTTAAATAATATAAGTTCCTTGGGAGATATTGACTTTGCCGGGAACTTATTAAACTCAAGCACACCTGCTAGCTTGTGGAACCTCACTGATCTCTTGACGTTGAACCTGTCATATAATTCCTTGAGTGGCTCACTACCTTATGAAACTGGAAATTTGAAGGTAGTAACACTATTGGATTTGTCAGGAAATCACCTTAATGGGAATATTCCAAGTTCCTTAGGAGGCTTGCAAAGTTTAGCAAAGCTTTCATTAGCACAAAATAAACTTCAGGGACCTGTTCCAGACTCTCTCAATCAGATGTTAAGCTTGGAATTTTTGGATCTATCCAATAATAATCTATCAGGTACAATACCAAAGTCCTTGGAGACACTTTTATATCTCAAATACATTAATCTTTCTTTCAACTACTTAAGAGGAGAAATTCCCTCTAGTGGTCCTTTCGAGAACTTCACATATGAATCATTCATGTTTAATGATGACTTGTGTGGCGCTCAGAGATTTCATGTTCCTCCATGTCCTTCTCCTCGGATTCACAAATCCAGTCAGAAGAAAGTATTTCATATGCTAGGCATTCTATCAGGTATTGCAGCAACAACAATTGCTCTTACAACTGCTGCAATTTTACTTTTAAGATGCAGAAGAAAGGATGGGATTTCAAGAAACACTGATTTGTTGCCCATGGGATTGCCAAAAATGATTTCATACTATGAACTTGTGCAAGCAACCAATGGTTATGATGAAAGCAATTTACTTGGCAAAGGGGGTTTTGGATCTAAATATAAGGGTATTTTGACGGATGGGACAGTTGTAGCTATGAAAGTTTTCACTTTACTAGCAGAAGTCACTTCCGGGAGTTTTGATACAGAGTGTGAAGTTCTACGCAACCTTCGCCATAGAAACCTAACCAAAGTGATTGGTAGCTGCTCTAACTTGGACTTTAAAGCCTTGGTGCTTGATTATAAGTCCAATGGGAGCCTTGAGAAATGGTTGTACTCCCACAACCATTGCCTGGATCTGCTGCAAAGGATAAGCATAATGATGGATGTTGCTTCCGCATTGGAATATCTCCATTTTGGTTATACAACACCAGTGGTTCACTGCGATCTGAAACCTAGGAACATATTGCTCGATGAAAGTATGGTTGCTCATGTGAGTGATTTTGGTATGGCAAAGTTTTTGGATGAAGAAAATAGTGTTCTGCATACCAAGACACTTGCAACGCTTGGATACTTGGCACCAGGTTTGGCATATTTGACTTCTTTTTAGTTGCTTTTTTATCCGTTTTTTACGTGAATTAGCTGTCAATCTTCCATGTTTTCTACTTTTTTTCGCTTTAAGCGTGATGTATTGCCTTTCATATCACAGAGTATGGACTTGAAGGGCAGGTGTCAACGAGAGTTGATGTGTATAGTTTTGGTATAGTTTTGATGGAAACCTTTTCAAGAATGAAGCCTAGTGATGAAATGTTCAAAGATGATTTGAGCCTGAAGAGTTGGATTGAAGAATCTCTGCCTAATGCAACAACTCAGGTTATAGATGCAAACTTACTGGGGTGGCAAGATGAGCATTTCAATGAGAAATTGGAGTGTATTTCAGTGATCTTCAAATTGGCTTTGAGTTGCTGTGTTGAATGCCCGTGAGATCGGACTAATATGAAGGATGTTGTGGCGGCACTTCAAAAGATAAAACGTCAAACTTGAGTCTTTTCCGAATATCTCGACATGAAAGTACGTTCTTTTACTTAATCCAACTGACCAAGTTTGTTCCACTCAAATAATCTTTCCAATGTCTTTTGTTGCAGGATGATGCTAAGATTTGAAATATCAAGCAAAATAAGTTATATTATCCACCTTATGTATGCCGATATATCAATAATATATTATTAAGATGCCAAAGTTTTTTTTTTTCTGGTCTCTAAAAATCTTGTTCTGTCAATCACACCAACCAAAGCAAGAAATCATTTAGCCTTTTCTAATTATAGAATCTCACAGTTTGGCCTAGTATATTCTTTGTCACTGTCAAGGTCAAAGTTAAATCTATGATACACTTTTATACTCTAAGCTATGGTCAGGTAAGGCCAATTTGAACATTTTTGCCTTTTTGAAAACAAGCAGTACTTAAAAAAAAAATCGTTTTGCATTAACTAAATGCATAGTGGAACTGAGTATATAATATGATTTACAGAAAGTATCTCTTTGTCATGGCCTCCCATCAGATCCCACCAGACCACTTCAGTTGCGAGTTAGAAAATGCGAAAACAATGGCCATTATAATAAGTTGTTTTGAATATTATGCATCAAATGAATAATCCTACTACAATATGATTAAACCTATGTCGCTACCGACAAAAAATAAAATAAAATAAAATAAAATAATTTGTAGCCAGGAAGGTTGGGCCTTAACCAGTTGCGTTGAGTTTGTCTTCTAACAATCTCAACCAACTTGTGCAATCGGCATCAATGTGTAGGGCTACGCTCAATATATTTCAAGATCAAAAAAGTTTTTGAATTTACTCAGAATGGGCTGGACCAAGTTGAAAATGTCTTTAAGTAGAATACAGATCAAGCCCCTCTCTTGGCTATCCAGAAAATTGACCATAAACCAACTTCATTCAACTTGACAGACTTACTTAAAAAGAGGAATTTCTTCAAAAGGCACTAAAATTAACTTAAACTACAAATTTGAACCAAAATTTAGCTAATCAAACCATCAATTTCTAAAAATAGTTTCTTTTTTCCAAGTCAAGAGCTGCATCATTCCAACAAAATTCAAGAAATATAAGCAAGAAGAATGCTACCTTTGACTTAACTTGCTATAAAGTTAACTCCAAAAAGAAAAATAAGGAGAAAAAAAAGAACTCCACGACTCTGTAACTAATTATCAAGAGAAAGAAACAAGACCGAACATTTTGGAATTAAAAAAAAAGAGAGAAAAAAAGTGAGAACGTGAATTGGAATGGTTACCTTATCGTTAGCCATGATTTTAGATCGGAAAAGGGAAAGGAGGAAAAAAGAAGAATAAATTGGGAAATATAATTGGTTTTTTTGTTGCTATTGTTTAAAGCTCATAATTGTCGGTTGGAAGAAAGGAAAGAGGGGGAAAGGTCAGAGGACCCCATCAACCAAACAGCATCCCATGTGATTCCAGCTCTCTTCTTTTTAGTGTTTCTCCTCCTACAGCTTCACCTGCGAAGTGAAAACGGAAAATTGTGAAAGGCCCCCATATTATTAGGAAATTAAAGTATTGCCAGGTTAAATCCTGTAGTATTCTTCAAGTAAAGTCCTGGTTGGTTGTCATTCTGATGTACTAGAGGGTTTGAAACTCGGCTGAATTTTTCGTGTGAGAGTCTTTTCTCGTGTAATGTGTTGGGAAAAACTTTTAAATATTTGAAATTTTAGTAACATAACAAAAATTAGTTTTTTTTATGTATCAATTACTACGATGTATCTGATATTCAATAATGGAAATGGAGAATTAATGAGTCACTTAGAATTAAGTAAATATCATATTAAGACAAAAAAAAAGTAGAAAAAAAACACATTTCTTGAAATATTTGTTTTGTTGGATTCAGTAAAAAGAAGTTAAGATTTGATTAATGTTATTTTGATTGAGTTTTTGGTAAAGAGTTTGGTTTTACTTTTTGGGTTAATGGCATGGGTTTGGGAGGATAAAACCCACGCATTTTGGTTGGGTTTGCGTGGACCGGAAGTTGGGCTAGCCCGTTCCTTTCCTTGGATTTTTCTTTGGGCCAAAATAATTTCTTGGCCGAAGAAGAATGGAAATGGCCCAAGTAGCCTTTCATATTGCAAAATCTGATGCTAAAATTACAGTTTAGCCCTAACCTTTTAAGTAATTTTACTGTGGCTCCAAAATTTTTTTATTTCTCGGAATTAGGTCTCTAATTTAATTGGAATTTAATCCCTGAACTTTATTTTTCTTTAATTTTGACTCCTAATCTTTGTAATAATTATAATTTGACCCTAAAAATTTTCTTATTTTTTTACAATTAGATCCCTGACAGTTTTGATTTTTTAAGTATAATTTGTCTATTTTCTTTAATTGTTAACCATACTTCATTTAAATGCTTTTTAATTGGTAGATTGCATGATTATTTTCATTTCTTTATAATGATAAAGTGAATTTGCACTATGTTTACATGTTATTCCTTTTATTTGTTAATTAAACTGGTGTCTTGATTATTTTGTTAATTTTGGAGTATAAATAGGACAAATCCAATCTCATTTAATTACTACTTCAAACGAGGTATCTTCTTTTATTATTTTAAATCCTCTTATGTGCTCCTAGGTGTTTTTATATATGATAGCATGTTTTGAGTGTTTTTCTTTTTATTTATTTTTCATTATTCGTTTTAAGTTTTCATCCATTTTATTTATTTCATTTAATATTTGATGATTTTTTGGAAGGCATTTAAATGTCAAATTGTAATAGATAGGTGCCCAAAAGATGTATTTAGTTAGGCTATGTAATAGATAGATTTTATTTTTGCTAGAAATATAATTTGTTAGATGAATGTAATAGTTAGGTTATTAGTTTTTCAAATTCCCCCCTTAGATTGTAGTTAGGGCCCCAAATGTAATAGTTAGCTCTTTATGTGTGTTTATTTGCTTGTGTACTTGCATGCTTGTGTGTTTATATGTTTATTCACTTTCTTTATGATTTTTGCATCTAGATATTATGTTTTATGTGTTCGTGCTCTATTTGTTTTATGTGTTTATTTGTTTTAATTATACTTTATATGGTTTATTTATTAACATATATAGTCTATGTGTGAATGCAATCGCCTCCAATTGAATTGCTTGCTGATGTGGCGCTCTTCTATTGGCCAATTGGTGGTAGTCCTCCAATTGATTCCAATTTGATGAGTTGTCATCCTTTGATTCATCAATTGGTGGTAGTCCTCCCAATTGCACATGAAAATGGTGATGTGGCGAGTTTTGATTGGATGAGAGGTGGTAGTCCTCCAATTGCATGTAGGATTGTGCTAAAATTTTGCTTCTTTCTTTTTTATCCAACAAATCACATTTACAAAAATTTTGGATTCCTTTTTTTTGTTGTCCATCAAATCACATCCAATTATCAATTCTTTGCAATTAATTGTTAATAACTAATTTAATGCCATGTTTTTTGTCATTCAACAAATCACGTTTAATTAACAATTTTTTTGCAATTATTAGCAAAAAATTGACTTCTTTTTTGTGGTTGCCCAAAAAACTACCTTTAATTGTCAAATTTTTTCTGGTTGTCCAACAAATCACATCTAATTACCAAATTTTTGTAATTAATTGTTAATAACTAATTAGTAATGTCAAGTTTTTGGTCACCCAACAAATCATGTTTAATTAACAATTGTTTGGAATTATTAAAAAAATTGGCTTCTTTTTTTGTGGTTGCACAAAAAATGCATTTAATTATAAAATTTTTTCAAATGTCATAAAAAATGTCCTCTTTTATTTTGGGTTGTACAACAAATTATGTTTAATTATCAATTTTTTGCAATTAATTGTTAATTAATTAATTAACAATTTGAGTTTATATTGCCTAATAAATCACATTTAATTGTTAGTTTTTTGCAATTATTAACACTTTTTTTCTGTTGCCAAATGAACCACATCTAATTACCAACTTTTGCAATCAATTGATAATTTTTTTTTTATTTTTTTGGAAGTGAATTGTCACTTTTTATTGCCTAGCAAATAACATTTAATTACCAGCTTTTTGTAATTATTAACACTCTTTTTGGTTGCCAAATAAATCCCAATTATTTATCAACCTTTTTGCGATTAATTGTTAATCTACTTATTACCTTTGGAAGTCTTTTATATTGAAGAACTTTTTACCTTTGGAACTTTTTTTTGCATATGGTTTGAGGATTTATGGGTTTTTTTTTTTCCTTTTTCCTTTTGATCAATCAAACGGCATCGTATGCTGATGGATCTTAAACATATGGCTTAAACATAAAATTGCATGAAATTGCATTGCCTCTTGTGCAGGATAAAAACATGGCGGTAGGAGATTATGCGAATAAGCTCTAGGAAGAGGAAGACAAATAAACTCTTGAACGATATTCGGCATTGTAAAGAGATTGAGAAATGCAAGCTTGAACCATAGTTAGTAAACACTTAGTATCCAATTATGCATACAACTTGTAATAATTTATAGAATTTTTTTTAACTGCATTCTTTATTAATATACTTGGCCTTGACTCAACATATTTGGCCAACATAGTTTTATAACTTATTTTAGTCATTACTCCTAATTATGGATTATCTATTTTGTTTAAAAAAATAATTACAATGGACTTTACACTGGGCATACTACCTATTAATTTCACACCGTGCGTTCGCCCGGTGATCCCCTCCTAGTTTTAATAAATACTTTCACCAGACATGGCAGGTGTCTACCACTTCCCGGTTGTGGGGACCGTTGATTGTCTGGAAGAGGAAACAATGGTAGGAGTTCATCGTTGCCTGTTAGTCAACCTCAATGACAGCACAAGCTACATCTGAATCCCATATTCTAGTAGATCAATCAATTTCCCTCCTAGCGGGTGCTTGTGTTTTAGAACAAACTTCTGATGTCATTTTAACTAGTCTATAATAAATGCATGACGTCACCACACTAATCCAATGCTAATTGTGGTCCTTTTTTTCGATTTCTCACTAGTCCAACGCTAGTGAGAACCTATAGAAATGGACTAATCTAATGCTAGACCCTTAGGGTTGTTTACGAGTTAGAATCACATTTTTGAGTGACATTTATTGCATTTTATCCATATTTTTATTTTAGGGTCTTTTTCTCACCTTGCATGATTTTTCCTCTATATATTATCTCCCTTATTCCTATGTGCGCGAAACATGATATTTAGACTTGCATTCCATTTAAGAAATTAGAAATAGGTTAGTCCATTTGCTTGACTGGATTAGGAAAGTCATCCTTCAAATATGAAAAATGAACGAATATGGTTTCTTAACTTTAGCATGCTCTTTTCCCCTCTATAAGAAGGAAAATTCGAGTCACGGATTTTAGCATCCCATACCCGTTATGTTGCATTCCCCTCTTTTAGGTCACATATATATAGATATAATTTTCTCTTTTTGAGTCTCATGTTTTACATATTCGTGATCTCTTCAAGGAATCACTCTTGGGCGTCGCAATTAATGTAATTTGTACCAATTAAATTTTGAAGAGACATTCCGACCCTCCCGATACCCCTAGATCTAGATTCACATCCATGTAGAAGCATCCTAATATGATAAGTTTTATAGTTTAAACTAAGAAAATTTTCAACTAAATCTCGCAACTAACCTTGGTTAGATTGAAAGGGTGCCTTACATTTGAACTTATCAAATCTTTGTCTTTCCTTTCTTCAATCGTGACTCCCAAACTTTGTTCTTTTGTTTTTCAAGACCTGAAGTCGTCTAAAAAGGGTTTTGTCTATTTTATATATATATTTGGGTGACTTGGTACACCTAAATTCAATATCAAGTGGCGACTCCTATTTTTCTTTAAAAACCCTTTTTAGCCTAAATTTTGGACCCAAATCATCGCACATTTTAAGTCCTATATTAGGTCATTTTTTTTATTTAGGAAAATTTACCAAATTGGTCCCTAACATTTACCAAAAACACTTTTTTAGTCCCTAACATATAAAATCAGCCAAAATTGTCCTTCACATTTAAATTGTGATCCAATTTGGTCCTAATGCTCGTTTTTGCTCCTTTCTCCGGCTAAAAATAGCACGCCCCTCTCATGTGGTCATATTTTCAAGGGCAAAATTAGAAAACACAAATCCCAGATCTACTGGGGACGATCCCTGACCTCAAGATCTTTATCTTGCTTCGACTCTCTAAGGACAGGTTCACCACAACGGTGACTGAGTTCACCTGAACAGAAGCATATTTGGAGGTGATCAAAGGCCGGAAAGCCGAGAGTAGACACGCAGTGTAGAGATTCACCCGGGATTCCTCCTGGGTCCGGGTTAGTTTCCGGAGGGAAAGCAGAGCCTCCTCTTGCTCGAACATTTGAGAGTTCCGGAGCTTGGTCATGAACTTGTCTTCTTCGAGGGAGCTAGAGTGACACAAGGACTCAATATCCGAGGAGGACGAAGAAGAGCAGCAACAATAGGGGCGGGTGGTGAAAGGTAAAGGAGTGGTGGGCTTGTTGATGACAGTGGCGGCCGTCACGGATTCCTTGGAGCTGGCGGAAACTTGACTAGGCGTCCGAGTCAGCTCGGTTTCTTGGGAAGAGAACTTTGATAATTGATGATTAGGGTTCTGTTGGGAACGGGAAGCGAGCAATAAGGTACGAATGAGGTTATGAGCGGAGCAGAAATCGAAGGGTTTGGGAGAAGGGGTAAAGAGAGTAAAATGGCACCAACTGAGAACAGTGGACTTGAGGGCGAGGTTAGGGATGAGGGTGGAGAAATCGGGATTAGAGCTGTCAGGGAGGGTGGGTCTGAAGTTGAGGGACTTGCAGGCATCGATGCAGTTACGCTCGAAGGAGTGGTCGGAGGAGACAATAATAGGGTCAACCATGAGGGAGCCGGGATGGGGCAGACGAATTCCAGAGGAGGTTGGATTTTTTGCTTTGGGGATTTCTCAAAGTGGATTTTCCACTTGGGTAGCTGCTTCTGCTTGGCGCCACTGCCCATCTCCCTTTTCCATTGCTGTTTTGATCCTGAAAAGGTTTTCATATGTGAGGGATATTACGGATCGATTGGGAGATTTCAAATCGGGTAGGTATTGTCGATGATGATAATGATGATAGCAGTAATCTTATCAACTTTGAAAGAGAAATTGTATTGCTGATTACAATTGGGGACATGATGATGATAAGATTCTGCCGCTAGCTGATGAATCTCTCTCTCTCTTTGTCTCTCTCGGTGCACAAATTGCTACACAGTGTAACAGACTAGCCAGTTGAGTAAAGCTTTTGTTTTTCAATTTTGCCCTTGAAAATATGACCACGTGAGAGGGGCATGCTATTTTTAACCGAAGAAAGGAGCAAAAATGAGCATTATGACCAAATTGGATCACAATTTAAATGTGAAGGACAATTTTGGCTGATTTTATATGTTAGGAACTAAAAAAGTGTTTTTGATAAATGTTAGGGACCAATTTGGCAAATTTCTCTTTTATTTATTCTCTAAAATAAAAAACTAATTTTAAATAAACTCATCATTTTTTCAACAATAAATTTTAATTTTAAAAAATGGGCCGCGACAGTAGAAACTCCGAACCTAAAACTAACTATACCAGTGCTTAACTTTTCTAGCAAACCTACATTGAATGGTGGAGTTACTAACAATGAGTTTCCATTTTTGCACTTTGGTTTAATTACATGGAAGGCTTAAAGAAGTTAAAGAGTGGATGCTGTGGTAGTGGTCCTTTTCGAGGAGTTGGTGGCTATGGGGGGAAGAGGGGAATAAAAGAATACGAGCTATGTGACAACAATGTTTTAAAAACTGGACCGGATCGATTGGTTCAACCAATCGAACCGCAAACCGGCCATGGACACGGTCCGGTTCATATCTTAGTTTGACTTATCTCAAGAACCGGTCAAACCCGAGAAAAACCGTTCAAACCGTATAAAACCATGAACCACAGTTATTTATTTTTAAAACATTTGACTTCCTATTTTCAGTCAGCCACCAAGTAGTAGACTAGTAGTACCAATAAGGCAATAAACTAAAGAGTTTTCTCTCCGATTTGCAAATACGTCGCCTGGCTTTCTCTGTTTCCTTGTCTCGGTCAACTATCAATGACAAAAGCCAATTTCAATTCTCTTCTTCAATCTCCAAGGACTCCAATTTTCTTTTGTTTTCATTTCAAAAGTTGAAGTATCAATTGTTCTTGCATTGAAGTGCACGGTTTAGTCAGCCTCTAAAATTTCAAGCCATTATCAATTTACCAGGTTAGTTTACCTTTTCTTTGTTTTTTTTGATTGCTCTTAGTTGGTTACTTGATGTGTATATGCTAATTATGGTCCGTATTTTTCCTATTTAACTTAGAATTATGGATTAAATTAAATATTTTGAGTTGATTTTAAAATATATCAATTGTTGTTATATAAACTTTAGAGAAAAAAATTCAATTTTTACTCTATTTCTTGTGGAATTTCAACAATTGATGATGTCTTTGTTGGGTCTCTGGCTAGAAACATTACATTTATTTAGTGAAATGGGGGTGTCTCAAGTTGACTCGCCAGTTGTTTGATGAATTGCTTGAGAGGGACTGTTTGATGAATTTTGCTTGAGAAGGACGTGTTTTGATTTTATTAATTGTAGCATTTTGATTTTTATATGGTGGACACTACTTGCAACTTGGATAATATGGCATTAATTGACAGGGTCCTAAACCAGAATGACACTCTGGCTCAAAAATTTTTTTTTAATCATTTGGGTGGCTTGAGTTTCAAAGTCGGTAGGACCATAATCTTTGGTCCGTCTAGCTAAAAAGCACAGCTTTTGACCAAAGCAAGCTTCATACCCCCATATTCTCCATTCCGTAATTGAAAATGTCATCCAACTCGTTGCAGACTTGGGATACCAATTGGTTATGACCACGTAGAAGATACGTATGCTTCAATTACAAGAAAGCTAGAAAAGTAAATCAATATAGGATCTTAGTTTGGTATAGAAAAATAATCCTCAGATAAGAAACTCAAAACTGACAATAATTGCACTTTCTTTACAATAATAACTAACCTTCTAGGTGAATTACACACAAGAAAAAATTCCAAAATTTGCACCAACATTGTAGCCTAGCTTAAAAAAAAAGAAATTAACAAAGGTCCAATTAAAGTCTTTGGTGAACCAATTACTTGTGCATTTGCGTGGCAGTATTCATAAAACCACTAAACCAGTTTTTTTGGTTGGATGAACATTTTTAAGTCCATAATATGTGGTGGACACACACAAACAAAAGTGGAGATTAGAAGAATTGCGCACCAAGTTAGTAATTAAGAATTTTTTTTATATGCAAATATTTGAGTGATCTAAATATTCTATAGCAGAAAATTATTGCATGTTAGAGAGTTTTGTTCATCTTCTTCCATTGACTAATGTAAACACAATAGATTTTTGTCTATATATTAATCAGATTTTGCTCAAATTAGAACTAACCATTTAATTAATTTATTTGTTTGACTAATTGTATTTAGATATCTCATTTTAGAATGGATGCCGGTAGTGGTAGTAACTCACAATGTTCACCATCTGGAGCATTCAATAGTGAAGAATCTGCAAGTCAACCTCATGGTCAGAGACAGAAGACAGATATAGCATGGGGACATGTTTCTGAGGGCAGAAATGCACAAGGAAGAAAAACCATGACATGCACTCATTGCTTTAAAGTATTTCAAGGGGGTGGCATCCATCGAATGAAGCAACACTTAGCAGGAGTAACAGGCAGTATTACCTCATGCTCAAAGGTTGATCCAGCAGTAAGACTTGCAAGATTATCATCTTTACAAGTGAATGAAAAAAAATCAAAAGAAAAGAGAGGAGACTTTGGGGTGGAAAATCCTTTTGGACGACTAGTGCATGACTTTGAGGGTGATGAAGTGCAAGAGGTTCCTCCTCATTGAGTAAAGGAAACATCAATGAATGAGGTTGGTATATCATCTGGTAAAGGAAAAAGAAAAGCCACTACTCCCACAGGTATTCATACTTTCTTTAAGGGTGGACGTGATAGTTCTCAACCTACTATTAAGGCTTGTTTGCAAAGCAAGGATAAATGGCAAAATACTGATATGGCCATTGCTCTTTGGTTCTATGATGCATGTATTCCAATGAATGTTGTTAATTCTCCATTTTTTCAAAAAGCTAGTGATCAAATAGCATCAATGGGCCATGGTTATAAAGCTCCAACTTATCATTCTTTAAGAGTCAATTTGTTGCAAGATGCAAAGAAAGATGTCAAGTTGGTTGTTGATTCATTTCGAACACTTGGGCTGAAACTGGATGTACTATAATGGGCGATGGGTGGAAAGATAGTAGACAAAGACCGTTAATCAATTTTCTAGTTTATTGTCCCAAGGGTATATCTTTCATTAAATCTGTAGATGCCTCGGACATTGTGACAAATGCAGAAAATTTGTGCAATTTTTTTGTTGAAATTGTTGAAATGGTTGGTCCAAAGAATGTGGTGCATTTGGTCATTGATAATGCTAGCAATTATAAGGCTGCTGGAACTTTATTGAATGAAAGATATCCAACTATTTGCTGGTCTCCATGTGCTGCCCCATTGTATCAATTTGATTTTGAAGGATATTGGTGACATGACTACTGTTAGATCTCTAGTATCTCTTGCTTCCACAGTAACTACTTTTGTGTATAATCATAAATTTACTTTGAATTGATTGAGAAAAACTAATGGGTGGAAGTAGATTATTCGACCGGGAGAAACTCGATTTGCCACTGCTTTTATTGCACTAAAGAGTTTACATGATCACAAAGATAGTTTACAAGCTTTAGTCACAAGTAGAGATTATAAAAAGTTCTTGAAAATGAGCAAGGGAAAAGAGGTCAAACAAATTGTTTTGGATGATAGATTTTGGAATAACTATTTGATCACAGTAAGAATAATGGGTCCTCTTATTCGGTTGTTGAGAGTTTGTGACACTGATGAAAGGCCTTCTTTGGGATATGTTTATGAAGGTATGTTTAGAGCAATTACTGGCATCAAGAAGTTGTTCAGAAATAGTGAAAGATTGTATAAGGCTTACGTTGATATCATCAATGACCGGTGGGATCAAATGTTGAGGAAAAATTTGCATGCTACAGCCTATTTTTTAAATCCTGCTTTTCAGTATGACACTGCCACATTCTCTGCACATCCAGAAATTACAAATGGTTTGTTGGATTACATAGAGTCAAAAGTGGATTGGTGTAGTGTGGAAAGTTTAACAAAGGAAATTGGAATGTATTGAGAGCAGGAGGGAAGTTTTGGCAGAAAACTTGCTATTCTCACTAGTGAGAAAGACAGGCCAGGTAATTTATATCTTTTACTATTTAAATCTTACTAAAATATATATTTCATTTATGATTATTTTGTTTATATTATAATTTTGAAAATGACAGAGAATTGGTGGAAACTCTTTGGATGTGATGCTCCAAATTTACAAAAGCTTGCAATTCGGGTTTTAAGTCAAACCGCTTCTTCTTTAGGATGTGAGTGTAATTGGAGTGTTTTTGAATGTATTCACACTAAAAAAAGGAACAGGTTGAAGCATCAAAGGCTCAACGATCTTGTACATGTGCATTATAATTTGCATTTGCAAAATAGGTATATGTAAATGACTCCTTTTTATAAGTGACATTTCATTCTTTTTCAAAATATTTTAATATTAACTAAGTGTAAATATTGTAGGCATAATCAGCAAAAAAGATCGTATGATCCCGTTGATTATGAGTCCATTGATAAAACAGAATTTTGGGTGGTTGAAGAAGAACAAGAAGGGGAACTTGATTATGATGAGTTAGATGAAGAACTTGAAGAAATTCCAGTTCATGATCAAGGTTCAAATTCTCAACCATTTGAAGGTTAGTTTCATGTATTAGTAAAAGCTGAAATTATAATTTATTTATCATTTCCAACTGAAATTGGTTATTAGTTTGATGCAAAAGTAAAGTTAATATTGTGTTTAATTGTTCAATGTGTGTATAATTGAACAATTAAATATGTTGATTTCTTTAGATAATGAAGATGAAGGGGAAGATGTTGATTTAGAAGCATTTCAGCGTAGAAACTTTTTTAATGATGATGAAGATGATGATTGGCATTAAAGATTCAAATGGTAATTTGTATGAAATTTATTTGTGTTCTTTTTTTTTTCTATTTTTAAGATTTGAACTAGTTGGTGTGTTAAAACTAACATGAGCTTTGTGTTTTTGTCAGTTGTTCATATATGCTCTTGGACGATGATGAAGGCTTGTCAAGATGGCTTTTTTTAAATACTTGTTGTCCAAGAATGACGAAAAAGATGATAAGAACCTCAGAAATTAGACTTGCTTGGATTTTTCGATTGTTTTCTAGAATTAAATGAGTTTTTATATTGTTCTTTGTTAGTTCTAATATTTAGACTATTGGACATGGGATAATATTGCTCTTATGTTGGTTGTGATTTTAGCATCTGTAGTTCTATTGGACTTTGTTTAATTTCAGAAGTTTCAATGACTTTTATTTTATTTCAAAATACGGTAGTGGTTTGTGAAAGGTCTAAAAAGTTTTTAATGATAGGTATAATTGAGATGAATTTGTTTGGTTAAATTTATAGTTCTAAAAATTCATGTGTGTTTGGAAATATGTAACTTTTTATCATGTGAAATCTATGGAATATCTTAACCTATGCACAGGTGTTTGTTTGTGTGTATATATATATAATTCATTGAATCGGGATTGAACCGGTCCGACCGATTGACTCTCAACCCTTTCATTTTACCGATTCAATAGACGGTCCGGATTTTAAAATATTGGTGACAATCCACAAGATTATTTCTTCTTAGACTCCAGTCGTTCAACTCAAGCGGCCAACCAGCTGTTTGCGAAGCTCATCTGGGTCGGACCCTCCAATATTACTGGGCCTTATTATCTCAACTCACTTTTTCAGCTTTCATAATGTAACTTGATCTACTCGAGATTGAAGTTCACTGCTAAGGGCCGTCGGCGACATGAATGTTAATTTCTGTTTTAACCTCAAAATAAAACAGAACATAAATGTGTTTGTTTCATCGCATCATTTCTCTTTCACAAATAAATCAAAGTGCAAAATTACACTTTACCCCCATATGATTTAGTTTTTTTACATAACCTCCTATAATTTCTAAAACTATACATAATCCCCTCATGATTTGGATTAAAGTGTCAAAGTGACGAAATTTGCAACCCATAACGGAGTCACCTAAAATATCAAAAATATCCCTATGAAAAATTGAAAACTATTTATTAACCACAAGGGGATTATGTATATATTTTGAAAATCATAAGGGGATTATATGGTAAAACATTAAACCATAAGAGATTATATGGTAAAGCATTAAGGCATACAGGGCTAGAGTATCATACATATTATGTTTATATATTTGGTCACTTCGGCCATTTTAATTTTTAAACACGGTAATTTCTATATTTTCATAGGTTCCGTTATGAATGATTATTTCCATTATTTTGACACTTTAATCCAAATTATGAGGGGGTTATATATAGTTTTTAAAACTATAGGAGATTACGTGGAAATTAACTATAGCACAAGGGGGTAAAGTGTAATTTGCCCAAAATCAAAATAAACGGTATGATAGAGGAGGATCTTTGTTTGTTGTTTCAGTCTTATACAATATTTGTAACTATACTCCCCCTGTTATCTTCAAATTTTCCTTCTTAGAATATTTTTGGGCAAATTGTTAATAAGGAAATAAGCTTGTATAACGTGTTCAAGACTCAATGCGTCAAAAATGCAATGCTGCTGAATACTATATCATGTTCTAGGTAGGTATGGTAAATACTATACAAAGAAAGCTTGTGAAATTCCCAACCCAATAGCGAGGTCCCAATTTGCCTTTGTATAAGGTGACATTGTGTAATTAAGCAACAACAAAGCATATTTCCTTAACAATAGCTCTCATTACACGGTTCCTGGTCTTTCATAGCTCATAGACGGTTGCAATAAAGTCAGTCAGCTGAGCTTGTGAGCAATGTTATCATAAGAGTAGTGCCTATTATACCACACACTGGTTCTAGTGAATGGCTATTATTTCAAAAGCTATTTATAAGCCCATGGTTTCAAATAAATATGTGGTTTCTAAAAGCTTATAGCTCTGGTGAAATTACACAATTTGTTGCCTTCCAGAAAACTCAAAAGTGAAGGATGTAGGATGGGCAGTTGGTCAGGTCAAGAATGGATTTTTTTTTCGGACGAAACTAGCAGAAAAGGAAACTGACTAAAAAAAGACACTTTTCTGAGCTTTAGCCTGCGCTTCAAAGCGGAATTGGGCTTTTTATAAAATTTGATTGATCACTATCCATCCAAATTTAAGCCCTTAATCACTAAAAAAATTTTCTGTTAGTAATAGTGACAAGAGCCCTGGAATTCCAAAGGCGGGTCATGCTGCCTATCGAAGTCAAATGCTACACACATTGACCGTATTGTTTTTTTATGCCAAGTCTTTGTCCACGATCAATTGTACCTATGGAAATGTACACTATTCCTTTGAATAATGAAACTGACATCTAATGTTATGCTTCTTTTCCACATAGAAAAGAAAAGGGAACGTCAATTCTCTCTATTGATTTGCTGCCCAAGCTTCAGGGTAATGTTAGTAAAGAAGAAAACAGTTCAGCATCCCTTGATTATTTTGGTGCTTTTGTGTGGGTGTGGTATATTTTATTCTTGTACCATTTTCTTAGGTACCTTTATATTTTGTGAGTACATTTTTTTTTAACTTCTAGAAAAAGAGAAATGTGATTTAAGAAACGAAGAAGGGAAAAGAGATTTGAAACCATGATTTCTGAATTTTAAAATCTCAACTTTAGCTATTAAATCGTTATTTTCCTTTGAATTTGAGCATCATGTCTATCATGCAACGCAAAATTGCTTGTTTGTTTTACTAATTAATAGATTTTCATTGATTACATCCTGTTCGTTGCCAACTTAAAACATGAATGACCACTATCATACTTTTCTCAAAATCTTCAATATCCATGGTCCAAATATCCAAAAACAAGAATAACAAAAAGGTGCAATAGGCCTTTGCTTTGATGAAACCAAATGCTACTCATAGGCGGCTGCCCTGAAGCATTTTCCTTTCCATAACCAAGTCCCCATACGTAGTTGATTCTCCTTATACTCTGGACAAAATTCTAAGGATTGGTATGGTGGTTTGTACCAATGCATTGGTAAAGTGGTTTGATGCGGTGCGCATGTGACGAGAGCAAGACACGTTAGGAGAAACAAAATTCGAGGTTGTTTTTGGTGTGGGCTAAGGCTACCGGAACGTAAAGGAGTGTTGTGATGGTGGGTTCCACATTACAATAACCCAAACGATTCGTCAGTGAAGGTGAACCCATGTTCACATGTCACATGGGTTCACCTCCACCATCGGTTCACCCACGTTAACCCATGTGAAAAGATGCAAGATATTATTAATATTAGTTTCCTAATTTATGAACAATAGACATAATGAAGAAAATGTAAAGTTAGATACATAAGTGAAAAGAAATTAGAAAAAATAAATAATATATGAATGTGCAGAATTAGATAAATTTTGATTCATTTAATTACATAAATTGATTCATTATATATGTAGGTGAAGTAATATGTTGTTGCATGATTGTTTTATTATATTTGTGGGTAGAACATAAAGAAATGTTTAACAAATGCATTTGTAATTGTATTAGACCAAATTACTGAGAATGAATTGATGACATAATAACCGAAGTGCAAATAGGTGAAATTTAATTAGACCATATTTGTCACTTTTAAATTTTCAACATTATCATCATGATCACTTAATTATACTTTTATCATTTGCTTAACATGTTGTCTATGTATGTCATCCAATAGCATAACTAACTTTCATCGATAACCAACCATAAACAGTATAATTACCAAATTCATTAAAATATTATTAAAAAAGATTTTAAAAGATCAAAGTTTTTTTGTTTATTAAAATTTTATATCAATTTCTTCCATATAAAAAGTGATTGTTTTAAATTGCATATAGATTGAGTGTGCCCTTTATCACTAGTAATACTAACGGTATTTGTACTAATGTATCACTACAAGAAATATATTTTTCAGTGACAAAAATTTATGTGACAACAAAAATCTTGTCACAGATAACCTAATTCAGTGACGACATTAGGTGTCATCACAGATGAGTACAGCACAAGCATAATCAGTGACAACATTGGAAGTTGTCATTCTCAACTCGTCACGAAATAGTTGGCGCGCATCTCATTTGATGCCGCGGGAAATGATTTTATGACAACTCAAGTAAAGTCGCCACAAACGCTCTCTCTACAGTGACAACATAACTTGTTGTCATTGAAAGTCTACCCAGTTCCAATTTTGTGACAACTTTTTGCATCACTGTATACTACAGTATTTTCATCAACTTTCACTAATTCTACTATGACACCCTAATTTTATATTTTACCCCCCAATTCTTTTATATTAGCAAAAGCACCGAAGATATGACACCCTAATTTTATAATTTAGCCCCTATTCATTATGTATTAACAAAATGCAAATGATATAATAACAAACTATTTTTAGATATTTGTAATTTTTGCTAAGTTGACATAATAGACATGTCTGAGCATAAAAAATTTTTCATAAATTGTTTATTATTACTTATAACAACCCCCAAAAATCAATAACTGAAATAATTTGAAAAAGTGTAATTGAATATAATTTGTAGTCTAATGTTAGCACTGTGAAAGATTAGTATAACGTGTAATACATCATAAGTAATAATTATTTTCATATGGAATGGGTATATACGAAATTAAAATTATTCAGTAAAATATCTGTTGTGCAATAAGATTGAGAATTGTAACACATTTAACAAAATATTTGATTACATGTTTCTTTTAATTTATTATAAAAACTAAGTAATAGACAAAGAGTAGGATAAGCATGAGTAAGAAGTGCTATACTGTATATAAGCAATTCTATAGTATTTTCATCAAATTTCACTAATTCTACTATGGCACCCTAATTTTATTATTTAGCCCCCAATTCTTTTATATGAGCAAAAGCACCAAAGATATGACACCCTA